AGTAGTTTGCTCATGTATTTTGCAGGCCTCCTGGTTGTTACGTATGCTTAGTGATAATGACTCAACAAGAAAGCTTTAGCATGTTACAAGAGCAGACTTTGGTCACTGGAATTTTTAGCCTGTGTCTGACACATGGCTTTTGGGGGCAGAGGATTTCATTTGTTGTGTCTGAGACCATTGCCCTAAATACTTCCTACTCCTCTCGATTTTCCCAGACATTATATGATCCCAGAGGGCATTTCACATTCCCTCCAACTTAACTGCAGTAGAGTCTGAAACTTGCATTGCCTCTTCCAGCACCTAATAAAGTCTCATGAGAACAACAGCTTTTTGTGTGCAGTTAGTTTCTATATCTGAAGGATACTCCTGAACTTTAGCCTGACTTTTGCTTTTGGCTCCTCTCCTAGGACTTTGATCCAAGAAACCCTCTCAACATGTTCCACTTGCTCAGCTGGGGAATTCATCACTGCGGTATCTTGCATTGCAGATTATTTTTAGGGATGATCAAATCAAGACAGATAAAATAAGAAACAAGCTGAATCTTTGCTAGAGCTGACTGCAAAATGCTGTGACTTACCAGCACTTGATCTCATGGCCAGAGTGGAATTCCTGATCCAAGAAAGAGGAAAATGTGTTCCTGATGGACCTGATTCAGAGTGGGGTCTTGAACTCGGCAGCCTGCAGGGCACACTGTCAAACTAGTCTCTCTCTCCCTGGTATCTTGCTTCCTGGGTATCAGCTACCTCCTGCTTGTGAGCTAGAGAAGTCCCACGTGGAGGCAGCCTCTGGCCTCTAAAGGGGAGGTGCAACAGCAAGCAGTTGTGCCCTGCGGCACACCAGCTGAACTGAAGAGCAGCAGCCAGGAGATGTGCATTCTGATGCACAAAGGCCTGAGTTGGTATGATACAATAGGCAGCCCCACACTCCAGCCCAAAAAGCTCTTGAAGGAAAGCACGATTACTTGGGATCATATTCTTGGTTGGTGTTATTGGATTGAGCCACAGTTACTCACTGATGTACTGCTTTCCTATTGTGAGAGACACTACTACCTACTGGACCAACAAGCTTTCACATGGGCAAGCCTCCTTTCATTATCTTGCTGTCCATAAGCTTTCCTGGACAGCAAGAGCACACCTTCACGTAGAAGCAGCTGAACAGGCCAAGGATGCATCAACAGACCTTGATGACTCAGCTGTGCTGCCTACCAGCACCCAGTGAGCAGCGCAGTTTTAGGACAAAAAGGAGAGATCACCATAGGTCAACACAGTCATTTGCATGCTGAAATACCCAAATTAAATTCAAATTTCATTTCAAAGTCAAGGAAACATCATCCTTAGCTGTGAAGGATATCCTAAACAACGATGGCCAGCAAGACTGGTGATGTGCTGCCAAATTTCACTTAAGCCCTTTAATAAATGATTATTAGATCTTTAATAAACTCAGCTGGGCTGTCTGACCACAGCACTCATCATCTAGCACTTTATTGGAAAGAAAAGAATAGCAGAAAACAGTGAGACATACCTCTCTGTGTCATATGCCAAAACTTAAGAAAACTGTTTTGGGGGAAATTCCAGAGCACGGTGCAGTAGAAATGTGAAGGATGAAATTTGATTTTTTTCACTGATGTGAGGAAACAGGCTTTGCTCTTATTTGGTCAGTATTGCCTGGGGAAAGAAAAGAAAAAAAAAACCCACCACTGAGGGATGAAGCAGATAGTCTAAACTAGTCCCTTAAAGGTATTTATTTTTAAGAAGCGAATTTTCCTTTTTTTTTTTTCCCAGGCTGACTATTGCCAACAGTATTTTAGCTTATGCTGTGCCTGCTGACCTACCACATTTAGCCTACTTACACTAATTAAACTTTAATTAAGTTTATTAAGTGTTCATCTAACATCAAAAGTAAGTCAAAGGCTTTGCAAAGTGTTGGCTAAGGTCTTAGCATGACTGGGCAGTTTTGGTTTACATAATTTTATTTATATATTTATATAAAAGGTATTTTAAAAGTGTAGGTCACTTCTAACCTACTCATCATAACCTTTCCTAAAGCCACAGCAAGAACTTGGCCTACAGTTTCACTGAGGACAGGCGTTACAAGCAGTGGCACTTCTTGGTTTGCTGTTACTCTTGGTGTAACAGAGACCTCAAGAGACTGACTTGTGTTTTAGGATGCTCCCATGAGTCCAGGCCCATCAGGCACCTCAGGTCTCTCCTCCTAGGCTACCAGTCATGTCTTGTTGCGTTTCTACTTCTTTAAAAAATTAGGGAAAGGACTCTTCTTCAATTCCACCCTGCCAGTGCAGAGTGAAGTCTCTGCTTTGGGCACAGACAGTTGTTTTCCAGTCAGCCTTACTCTTTGCTCAAATAACTCAAGCCAAGTTTCCTGACAAGTCAGTCATGTCCCCATTTCCTCTCCTCTCTGCCTCCAAAATAAATTCCCTCGTGTCCCAGGAAACATGCTGCCATGACAAGTTTCTGAACTGAAGGAGGCAGTATCAGAAGTTTCACGTGACAGCTGGAACAAGTGTATCATGTTCACCCCTCACAAGCCACTGATGAATTAACCAGTGGTCTGAAAGATCCCATTAAAAAAGATCCTGGTGCTATCCTCAGTTAGTAACATTCCTTTTCTTTAATTTCTGTAAGATTAGCTGGGAAAGGGAAAGCAAGCTGCATGTACATACCTCAAGGATCAGCAGTCTGTTGGTTGGCATCCATAACTGTCCTCTTATATGGTTCACTCCATTCTCACCTTCAACAAAATTGGTCAGCCTTTTATCCTGGGAAAGCTGCTGATTTTAGAGCTATTGCTCTACAACTGCTTGGGCAAAACTCCCACAGGAGCTGGCCCAGCAGCCCAGCACATGGAGAGAACACAGACTGAGCCCAGCACAACCCATCTTCAAGTCCCAATTTCCCACAGCATCCTCAGAGCAGGGCACAGGGCACTGGCACAGCATTTGCCCCCAGAAGGTTTTCAGCCCAAGGTCCTTCTGTAAGTCCTCTACCTTGTAAGTCTTGCCAGCTGAGTCACACAATGCCACCAGTGCTGTATGTGCACCCTCACAAACTGAGTGCAATTCAGTTTGTGCTGGCCTTGGGTCTACTTGCTCCTCCAGGTTATGGGCATGCCACGAGGCAGTCAGTCCCCCTGAGGCTGGCATCATCCCCAGCTGTCTCGAAAGACCCCTGTCATTAGACTCCCCACCTCTGTCCAAAATCTTTACCCACAGACACAGCCAGAATAACTACACAGCCCATGAGATCACCTAGCAGCAGTTAACACAACCCACAGTTTATTTTGCTATCAGCCATATCCGCACCTGCTCTTTGTTCTTTAAACATTGTGCCTGCTCCCTGGTTGACTGTTCATTGGTAATGCTGAACCAGTTATTCAATGGGGCTGTTCAGGTTGGTGACTCCCTGCTCCAGCATGGTGCGGCACGAAGAACTGTCATGGCCAGTGTGGGCATCCTACAAGGGACACCAGCAGCAGCTGTTGGCTCAGGCATGTTTTGGGTGGTGTGTCTTTCTCCATGAGACTGCAGACGGGGCTCTCAGGCAGCCACAGAGCTGAATAACAAACCAAAATGCTGCAAAAGCAGCCAAAGGGCAGGATCAGGCAAAACTCTGGCCCATCACCCTGCCATCAATTAGTGAATCACTTGTCCTCTTATGAAAGTGCACTGATCTTTGCCAGGAGACACTGAAAAACTTCCCCACCAGAAAAAACACGTCTTGAATATGGACAAAAATCATCAACATTTTCAAATAGAAAGAAATAGCATTTAAAACAAGACACATTTTCATTTTGGATAAAGCTTTCCAGACATGCTGTGATAAGCATAGCATAAGAAATTACGCAGATAATTTTCCACATAAAAATGCAAGGGGAAAAAAACCTTTTTTTTTTAAACAAGCACCAACTTAAAAAAGAAGGTTTTGGAAAAGAATATTTTGGCAACAAACCTTTCAGCTTAGTGCTTAGCAGCCACCAAATATTTAGCTTTGAAAAATAAAAATTTGTTCAGATCTTTGGATTTTGCTTTTTTTCCTTTTTAAATGAGAGAAAGTGTGCATTGGCACTGTGAGTGAGGAGGTTCTGACAAAAAAAAAAAAGACAAAACACAGCACTGGTGAATTTTCAGTGACTTCTAAGTAAAAAGATACGTAGATCTGAGACTAAATCCAAATTCCCAGGAGGACCACACATAGCTGCATGGGCTTATTTCCCCCTTAATGACGGATACCTCCCAGCTAGCATCAGAGGACATTCAAATGGGTGTTAGAGACCCACAAAAGCAACATCTCATTGGTTTCCTCTTTCCTGAAAGGCCACTTGCCTGGCAGCAGTTCCTTCACCTCCTCCATCACCTTCCTCATGCCACAGTGCTAGACCCAGTGCACGCTTCTCCTGAAACACTCCACAACTCCCTGGAACACTGTTGCCTTTGCAGCAGAGATGAATGAGTCGGGGCCTCTTTTGGCTGCTTGCAGCTGGATGATTTGACAGAGAGAGTCTCCAACCTTAAAGTAAAAATACTACTTTGTAAACAAAGCTGAGATGAGATTTATCACAAAACAGGAACAGGGAAGTCATTGTTCCAAACAATAATCACCTATTTATTTTTTAGTCTATCAGAAGAAAAATGCTCATGGTGAATGTTCTGTGCACAAACACAATTTTCTAATAAGACATTCTGTATGTCAGCTAAGCCGAGCAATGGAAACTCTGTTCAGGAATGAAATGGGGGCATATGCCTCCTCCAGCAGAAGTAAAGGTCTGGGAAACCAGATGCCCCTTGCACACATCTTGGAGTCAATTCTCCTGGTGTTCTTTGGCCTGCAATGTATAGAACAGGATAACAATCTCTTTGGGCCTTTAAAAGCAAATCCAAAAAGCTATGATCTGTCCTCAGTATTAGATAAATTTACTCCCAGAATCGAGAAGGGCTCTCCAAATGGCCTGCTGCTAAACCTCAGTTGTCATCACATGGAAACATCCAACTCAGAAGCATCAGCTCACCACAAGCATCCCAGCGGGGTAGGACCCAAGTCACGGAGGTCTGTTTTTAGCCCTGGATGAGCCCCAGGCAGGAGGAACAAGCAAGCACTGCAAATCAGAGGTGTACCAAGTTCATGCAGCAAATGAGGCAGATCTACCCTGGTGTGCTTTCTTCTTGGTGGATCTATGCTGCAGGTCCTTATGGCACGGAAGGAGAAATCTCGGTCTCTACCTGCACTGCTTCACGAGGTAAGCGCTCCCCCTTGCTTGTTCTGTTCATAGTGACATTGATTCACAGCCTTTTGTGGAATATATGCTATAAATACATATGCCAGTTTCCAAAATAGCCTTGCAGGGTTACACTGTAAACAGTGCTGCTCCTTGATGTTTCCTGCATCTATTTTAGTAGCTCTGCAGAACCCGCAGCAAGCCCCATTTTCTGGGATCCTCTCTCCCAGCGACCCCTCGCTCTCAGCTCACAGAGGGCAGAAGGGCTTTGGTTCCAAACCCATTTGCTCCATGGCATGGGAAAAAGCAGAGAGGTAACTAGAGAAACAGAACATTTGGCAAATTTGTATTGAACTTCTCACAACAAACCCATGAGTTCAGGCGGCCCATCTCTATGGCAACCAAACAGCACAAAAACAAGAGATTAACAACTAAATTTATTAGTGTGCAAGTGCTTAGCTATTATCATTCCAGGGGTATATTCCCCTCCCTACCACCCCACCTCGTTTTGGTTTGTAATGAAGACAACTCGATTCTAGTTCAAATGCCAATGTAAACATAGGCACACAATTTACAGACAGCAGAGCTGAAGCTTTCATATTTTTAATCACAGTTTGAAAAACTAAAAAACAAAACAAAAGGCTGTGTGTAGGAAGTTACCCAGTTTCTATTTTATTTTGTGAAATTGTTAAAGATTTGCAAGTCATGGGGACAAGGGAAGAGATACTACACATCTTACCCTAACAGGTCTATGAAGATCTTCATTAGATGGAGGAATTAGGAGTATATACTGCTTCTGCCAAAATAATTTCAAAGCACCTTGCTGTTATATTATACAGACATTACAAGCAGCTCCCTGAGGAAAATGTAACACAATCTCCACGGTGCCACAAGGCTTCAGGTCATGTCACAGGCACTGGGGTAAGTGTGTTGCTACTTGGGTATGTTCACTCCAGAAATAAGCAAGAGGGGGATTAAGACGCTGGGAAGCAGAGACTGCACGCAGCATCACAGCATTGTGGATTTTGGCAGCCAAGCTAATTAATTCAGATATTTTTGGAGATCCAAGTGTGCCTGAGGGTCCCAAGTGAATTCCAGTGGCCTCAGGAGCAAAGACCATACTGGGACAGCCTGTAGAAGACAACAAGGTGATAGGTGTGTATCTTTGCAAGTCAAAGTGAAGCAGGAAAACAAAGGATGTGTCTCAGCCCAAGGCACATTTGAAGTTGTGTTGGCCATTCACAGGGTTAACAACACTCTTCACATTTAAGTGTTCACTGAACTTCTCTTTTTCATCTTTGCTTCAGGATAGAATAACTTTCATTAGGAATAAGGATCTGGCTTTCTTGGGGTGGATAGTCTTAAAGAGTCTAGTCCTGGTCACTGTCAGAAACAGGAAATGGGACCGGACAGACTGGCAGCCTGATCCTGTCCAGCAATCTCTATGCTGTCCAGATGTGCAACAGGCCTCATTGCTGGGACAGAACTGCCCTCCCAACAACAGCAGTGCAGACAAATGAAATAAGGAAAAGCCTTCAGTGGCATGTGGCAGTGAGCCTTGCCTCAGGATCAAACAGACTTTATAAATAAGTGGTTACCATTTCTGGAATCAGAGCAAAGTAAATATATGGTTAGCAATGAGACTTAAACACAAATGGATCTCGTAGGTTGGTAAGTACTGCAGGCGATGGATCAGGCTCGTCAGTGTTCTATGTATGCTAATAAAGATTGATTATGTTAAACCCTCCGTTATCACAGAGAGGAGGGTAGAGAGAAGAACAGCTCTGAAGGCTACCAGAACCATTCTGACACCAGCAGGTTGAAGACATCAAGTGACAATTGCCCTGAACGCCAATGTAACACCTCAGCGTCTGGGGGGTGTGTGTGTGTGTGTGTGTGTGTGCGCGCGTGTGTTAGATTACCCCATCCCTAAGGAACCACCTGGCTCCATATACCAGACTGAACGGGTCTGGAAGTCCTTTTCTAGACCATTTGGCATTTTCCCCCTTCCATCATGCACTGCTGTTTCCAGGTGAAAGGCACCTTGTCTTGGGGCTAATTCAGATGTAAATACTGTAGGGTTAATTCAGATGTAATCATTAAGCATTCTGTGTCTTTGCACAATGACAGCAAAGAAAATCCAGGCTAAACATTCAGGAAAAATCTTTAGTAGGAAGGGCAACAACGCACTGCAAGATGATGCCTTGGAAGAGCATGGAGTCCCCACAAAGACCTGCCAGGAATTACTTATGTAAAATTGGTCCTGCCCGGGGGGCAAAAGGAGGGACTAGATGCCTGCCCAGGACACCAAAGACATCAGTGGTGTTGAGTGCCTTCACCTCTCATTGAGTGCTGCAACTACAGGTGAGAAGTCTCATGAAAAGTAAAATTTGCCACTCTCACAGGCATGATTTGCCACAGTATGGAGTGGAGATAGATATATACATATATATATATATATATATATGGGGACAGGGGAAGAGATACTATAGGCCTGTTGCACATCTGGACAACATAGAGATTGCTGGACAGGATCAGGCTGCCAGTCTGTCCCCTACAGCCTACAGAGGGTGGAAGCAAGGACAGGGAGCCTGGGAGGAATACAGAGACATTGTCCAAGCAGCCAGGAATCAGGTTAGGAAAGCTGGAGACCTGGTTACCCAGGACATGGAGAAGGCGGAGGTACTCAATGACTTTTTTGCCTCGGTCTT